TCAGGTGAGGCTCGTTCCGCTGCTTTGACAGACGCCGGTCTGCTGATGTCACGCTGTGTTGCTAACGCTGTTCTTGTCTTGTTCTCTGTGGCAGAATCCCACACGGCCCTCACTCCGTGCCGCTGCACCTGTGTCACCAGCTGGACTTCTCTCAAGCCTGCGACTGCGGCCGGGCCTGTGTGGACTCCTACATCCAGACGGCCGTCAGCTTCAACCTGCACCTGGTGTCTCACACCGTAGTGTTAGTGGACAACATGGGTGGCACCGAGGCTCCGGTGCAGAAGCACTTCTGCTCGCTCATGTGTTACTGTGAGTTCATGGACGGCTGCGTGCAGCGCGACCTCAGATGACGACGCGAGGATCGCGCTCTCGTGTGGTTTAGTGGCAATGTATGAGCGTCACAAGCGAGCACTGCTCGGTGTTTCAGTGTTTGTGTTTGTTCTCTTTTAGCTCGATGTTTAAGGGTTTGTTCACTGGACAGTTTTGTGCAAAAGACCTTTAAACTCCAGCATCACAACATATATTTTGTGAATAAATAAAAGTCATTAAAACAAAAGTTTGAGCTGTCAAAGAAATGATTTAATGATTTCACATGACAGGCTTCTGTATTTGTTCAAATTTTTTTTTATTTCAATCAAGCTTTATTTCATTTCCCCCCAAAAGGTCAATCTCCGTTTTAAGTAGATTTCTGAACAAACAGAACAAAAATTTTTATTTTACTCTACATTTAAACATTCAACTTGAGTGAACTAAAACGAAAACTAAATAAATGACACGTCATGACTATAAAACCCTAATAATGCGATATCACACTATCAGTTAGCTAAGAGAAAATTGTATGTTTAGTCCAGATCAGACCACAGAGAGTTCTGGAAGCACAAGGCGGCCGAGGTCTTGTGAGTGCAGATGAAGACGTGTCTGCCGTCGGGCTCGGTCTCTCTCAGGATGACACCGTTAGCAGCCGCTGAGTCATGCTATAAAACCCTAATAATGCGATATCACTATCAGTTAGCTAAGAGAAAATTGTATGTTTAGTCCAGATCAGACCACAGAGAGTTCTGGAAGCACAAGGCGGCCGAGGTCTTGTGAGTGCAGATGAAGACGTGTCTGCCGTCGGGCTCGGTCTCTCTCAGGATGACACCGTTAGCAGCCGCTGGTTCCTCCAATCGCTCCGTTGTGCTCTCGTGGTCTTCTGAGGAACTTCTCGTCTTTGGCTCTTCAGTGTCCTGAGAAGCGCTCCGATCCTCCTCGGGATTCAGCTGCTGGTTAGCTGAGCTGCTGGATTGCTGGTTTATTAGTGCATTATTATCTGTCGTCAGCGGCTGGTGTGGAACTAATGCATTAGCGTCACTCGCTGTGTCCAACTCAAACGCCTGTGTGTGTTCTGTCTCCAGGGCGCCTCTCACTTCATGGATGTCTTCATCTCGACCGTTTGCCGTCACGCGGGTTTGGATTTCAGCTTCGCTGGAAAACTTCCACAGAACAAGAGTAACAATTACACATTAGTATCAGTAATATCTATAGTATATCACATCCACTGCACTACTAGTGAATTTGATAGCTTGATATTAAATGCACATAGATGAAAGTTTTATATAAAAGCTCAGTCACATACTGTATTTGATGAAGAGTCGACCGGTCGATTGATGTTAATTCCACCTTCATTGTTCATTTCTACAGAGCAGAGGAGATGTAAATGATCTGGTTCCTGCGGTTCTGTTCGGTTCACAGCTGGATTGACGGGTGTCTGTGGTTCTGTCGTTAAATCGATTAACTGAGGTTCAGATGCTAAAGGAAAACCGGTTTCTGGCTCATGCTGTAGTCCAGCTGTATGGCATGCTGAGGTCTGAGGAACCTGATCTGCTGCATCATCCTCATCCTCATCGCTGCTCTTCATCTCATCACATCTGATCTGGTGTAATGCTGTGCTCCTCACTGGCTGAACGGGAAGAGTGATCGTCAGCTGTTTCTTCGTTTTGTTGAACTTCGCATCTCCTTTATCTTCATCCACAGGGTACGAGAGCGGAAGATCTAGTTTATACGCTGGTTTCTGAGAGTCCAGGACGAGCCGGCGCTCCTGCACGCTCACCTCAGCGTCCTGCGCGGATCTCAGCAGCGGTAGATCAACAGTGATGACCATCTCTCTGGGTCGGGCCCCGGGCCCTGAGTCTCTGGAGCACCTGTAATCCTGCAGATCGACGACTGACCGGTACTTTACGGTGTAATGTGGTTTTGTGGGCTGACTGGAAGAAGATCTTGAGTCCTCAGGATCTGGAGGAGCGGCACAGGAGACTTCTGGTTCTGGTTCTGGTTCTGGATCTGGATCTGGATCACTGGTGCTCTGCTGCTGCTCTCCAGGAATCGGCCTGCGGATCACAGCCGCCTGAGGAACACCTTTATACTTCATCTTCAGCTGCTTTATATTACTTGTATCCAGCTCGATGTGGAAGGCGTCCTCGATGCCTCGGAGGGCTGTGCTGTGGAGGAGCTCCAGCAGTCTCGCGCTGTTCTCCGCCGCGTGAAGCGCGTCTGGATGGAAAACGACGTCATAAATCATGCACCTGTTCCCGGCGGCGTCTCGGTCCGGTCTGCCCGGTGTCAGGCTGAACGGTAGACGCCAGTTGTAGCCCGCTTTCCCGTCTCGGCCTGTGGCCGCTTCGCACGAGGGTTTATCGATCAGCTGATCGGAGCAGATATTGATGAAGCGCTTCTCGCGTGCGCCGCGGGTTTTCAGCACGTGATGAGCTTCAGGGTGAATAAACTGCACGGTCGTGCCTCTGTCCTTCTCCAGCTGCGTGATCTCCTCCTCGTATCTTCTCTTGTTCTCGGGGTTTGAGATCTCGGCCGCATATTCGTTCAGTAACTCGCGGAACTTCTCGTCTTTTAGAGCTTCGCCGAATCGATTTAGTTCATCACGTGTCAAATTCATTTCTTCGAGTTTGCTAAAATCCATTGTGAACTGTTAACTTTAAGTTACTAGTTTCCGAAGACCAGACAGTCTTAAGCGCTTTTCACCGAAATGAAAGCGACTGAAACACTGGAGTAACGAGGACTCGGTAACCATGGAAACCTGCTACAGCAGCCGGGAGCGCGCACGCTGTCGAGACGCTCTTCGCGTGAGCGCGCCGCTTTTACTTTACTTTACTTTACTTTTAGTCATTTATCAGATGCTTTTATCCAAAGCGACTTACAAATAAGAAAAAGTAATTAAAACTAAAAGCTAAAACTCTATAAATACTATATATATATACACATTTAAGAAAATAAAAGAAATTAAATAAAAATGACAAATGCATACAACAACATTTCAAAACTAAACATTTAAATGAAGTCTTTTACCGTTAAATTCACGGTCATTTTTTACAGTGTAGTAGTAGGAAAGAGGAGAAATAAAAAGCGATACTTATCCTTTGCCGGTGTCCTGAACTATTTACGTTAGTATTATTATACTATATATTATACTATATACTATTAGTATTTGAACTAATTGAACTGAACTAAGCGACTGGTTTTCTGCTTCCAGAGACACATCTGTCAATCACCATCAGCTGAACAGAAGGGGAAAGAGGCGAGTCGTTTAAGATTTAATTGATATTTTTTGCAAAATAAAGCAAACAAACAGAATGCGCGTTGTCATCCTTTCCTTTCCGTGAACTTGTTTATGGAGCGCCGCGCCACACTTCTGTTTTTAAATCTGTTAGCTTAATTATTTAAGCCAGATATATTTCGCTTTTTTTTTTTTTTATGAAAACAAATTGTTATTTTTATTTAAGGCCTATTACTTGCATAGGCTATACATTTTCCTTAAAGCATCCCATTTTGTCCCAGGGCTTGAAAGCCTGTGCGCTAGGCTAGTTCGGTCCTGCAGAAACCTGTGAACGATGCTGTAGTTGTGGCAGCAGCGTTTAGTGACAGCAGTGAATGCTCCGGGAAACGTATAGTCTGTGTCGGTCACAGCGCCTTTTAATTGCTGTTTTGAATCCAGTAATTATTTATTTACAAATGATAAGCTCTGATTATGACAACTGTGGTATAAAAGCTTTGTTTATTAGAGGAATAATTGGTTAGCTGTAAAATGTTACATCGCGACCATGCTTTTGGATGTAGTTCGAGTCCATATAGCCTACATACATGCGGCTATGTTCTGGTTTGCCGGTTGGTCACGAATTTCCACAAATTCAATAATATTTAGGCATTGTTTCTTTTCCTAAATCCTCACCGTCTAACCCTCTAATTTCGCAGGTTTATTTTATTGTCATTCACTTTTT